AATAACTTGTACTACAGAATCCGCATTAGATAATGTTTTGACTAATTTTGATGAGCTTTCAATTAGAGTCGAGGGAATTGACACACAATTATCGGACCATGATGGGCTAATGGTATCTGTAGATCCTTCTGTTGGAGAATACTTAAATAAAGCCAAAATTAAGCACAAAAATAAATATGTGACAAGAGAAACTAGAGTGTTTAATGAAAGCAATTTGTCATTGTTTGGTACGATATTAGAAAGACAGAATTGGTTTAGTGTATATAATGCTAGTGTTGATGTAAAATTTGATACTTTTCATGACATTTTTATGTACTATTTCAATTTAGTTTTTCCTAAAGTTAAAAAACGGTCCAGGAATTGTAATGATAGTTGGATAACACCTGATTTAAAACAAGATAGACAGAAAATTGTAGAGTTAAGTATAGAAGCCAGAGTTGTTAAGGATCAACAAATGTTTAACAGAATTAAAACTTTAAGGAAAAATTACAAACAGAATTTAATTAATAAAAAAAAAGATTTTTATAAAAATAAAATAGAAGAATCTAAAAACGTTAGTAAAACAACCTGGCAGATCCTCAACTCTGAGATTGGTAATAAGAAAAAACAGTGTAGCAACATTGAAATTGTATATAACGACCATACATTAGAAGATCCGCAGGAAATTTGTAGACATTTTAATGATTTTTTCTCCAGTTATGTTGAACGTTCGATAATTCCACAGTTAGATCCAAATAGTCAAAATAACAATGATGCTCTGCCTTGTTTCAATAATTTCACAAATCAAAATTTTAAATTTAGACCAGTTACAGAAATTGAAATTAAAAAAATTTTAAGTTCTTTTCCAAATAAACTTTCAACTGGATATGATGAGGTTCCAATGATAGTGATAAAGAAAGCAAGTAATCAACTAATAAAACCAATAGTCCACTTAATCAATTCCTCTTTTATTAGTGGGATCTTTCCGTCAAAACTCAAAATTGCAAAGGTAATCCCGATCCTCAAAAAAGGAGATGCACAAAATCTAGCCAACTATAGGCCATTATCATTATTACCAACCTTTTCTAAAATTTTTGAAAGAGCAGCCTACAATCAGTTAGTACATTTTCTAGAAACCAATTGTTTGCATGATAAGGAACAACATGGATTTAGACCAAATAGATCAGTTATTACTGCTGGCATAGATTTCATTAATTCGGTAATTGACTCTGTGGATAAAGGAGAGAAAACAATAGGTATTTTCTTGGACCTGAGCAGAGCTTTTGATAGCGTCTCACACAAAATTCTTTTAAACAAAATCAAAGGCCTGGGAATCAATGGCAATACTTTAAATTGGATTAGCTCATACTTGGTTAATAGAAAACAATTTGTTGAAATAAAAAGTACCATTAATAATCAAACAGTCACCAGTCATTCTTCGCTAGCACAGATGCAGCATGGGGTCCCGCAAGGTTCTATCCTTGGACCTCTGTTGTTTTTGTGCTATCTAAAAGATATTCCACATTCTTTTCAAAATGGCTCAACAAAAACACTTTGTCTATATGCAGATGATGCAAGTTTCAAAATTAGTAGCAATACAATAAATAATTTGGAACATAGTTCTTCTTCAGCTTTATTGGGTATCCATAACTTTTTAAATAATCACAGACTATTATTAAATACAAGTAAAACCAATTTTATCATGTTCAATGCAGGAAGAAGTAAAAATTCAGTAAATCCAGTAATAAAAATAAACAACCACTCTTTGGAAAAAGTTGTTTCGACCAAATTTTTAGGCTTAACATTGGATGAAAATTTATCATGGAATCTCCACATAGATCATGTAGTTAACAAAGTCACCTCTGGATTGTATGCTTTATATAGGATGTCTAATTTTTGCTCAGTAAATACATTAAAAACAATTTATTTTTCTCTTATTGAATCAGCAATCAGTTATGGCATTGAAATCTATGGAGGTACATCAAAACAAAATTTGGATAGAATTCTTATTCTTCAAAAAAGGGCGATAAGAATCATAATGAATTTGAATTTTGGTGATTCGGTTCGTCAGCATTTTACAGATTTGGGCATAATGACTGTTTACAGTTTATATGTTTTTCACACAGCACTTCATGCTAAAAAACTAAGTATAAACAATCTGGTTCCCAGGTTAGGTGACAGCCATTCCTATTTTACAAGAAATAGAAATCAAATTGCCATTGATTTCCACAGGCTAGAGTTTTATAATAAAAAACCATTAAATGCGGGTGCTAAGTTTTTACTACGGCTACCTGTGGAATTGAGAAACGTTAAATATGTAAACATGTTTAAGAAAAAATTAAAACTGCATTTGACAAATAAAACATTATATAAATTTGATGAACTCTGACAACCATACTTTTTGTTGTTTATGATGATCAACTGTTGTTTTAAATATGTACCTTATGGCTTATGGAGGAAATGTAAAGAAATTAGTTTGTTAGCTGTAATTTAGTATAATGACGCCATTCGATGTATACCACTGTATATAATATGAATAAAGACATTTTCAATTCAATTCAATTCAATTCAATTCAACAAAACAATCTGTTACTTACTACATAGGAAAAACTCTCTCACAGTCTCCTTGGGAATGTCGAAGAAATCGTTGGTCTTATAAAGTGGTAAAGCAAATAAAAGTGCCCGGAGATTGTTTTTGAATTTTCTGTTGGTTTGGTTCCAAGCTGTAGAAGAATTGTGGTTAAGAAGCCTTGACTGGAATTTCTTTTTGTTTTACTTAACCTAACAAGGTACATCAATATTGTTTTTAGTTCTGGTATTGTACATATGATAATCACTCCTACGACTAAAGTGACTGGAAATCATTTTTTACATGCACAACTGAAACAAAAACATACAAACTACAAACAGTCATGATTTCCTCATTTACAAAGAGAGGTCTGCCATTGAGATATAGATTATAATAACTGGAGTCACTACTCTCTGGTTAAACGTTAGAGGAAAACGTGCCACTGTTTTGGCTGGTTTGTTTTTGGTGTTTCGTGTTGTTAGGTTGGCCGTGTGATCGGTTGGTGGGATGCTGTCAAATAATTCCAATTCATTCAAACCTAACCATACTATTTATTTGGGGTTATGTTATCCGTTATTTCAGGGACTTGTATCAAAAACTTATTTAAGTTATTGCACGTTAAAACCTCTGTATTTAAAGTTATTTTGAAACATTATAAATTGTTTTTGTTTGATGGTAAATAAATACTAACTTATTTACCTCTTTTAAAGCTATGTGGTGAAAATAGGCTAGTCAAGTTTCCTGGTTTGGAGATATTGGTTTAGGCCAATAGCCTTATAGCATTTGATTAAATAACGACCATCGGTTTATGATCTTGTTAAAATGGGTTGCTCTTGCTCGACTAATCCATTATATTATATATTATATATATAATATATTGCAATCATAATGTTGAGTTGGCAGATTTTTGTTTACTATCATCAACAAAACAGGATGACGCCATCTTGATTTTGCCTCTCTAATTTGACAAGTCCCACCAACCCGATCACCCGGCCAACCTAACAAAACGAAACTCTGAAACAAAACCAGCAAAAACAGTGGTACGTTTTTAAAACACAGAGTGGTTACTCCAGTTATATTATTATAGCTCAGTGAGGTCTGCAAGGGGCATCATACTCAGCGTTTGCTAGGATTTTTACAGCTCTTTTTGTATTAGCAGTACAACTTTTGCAGATGATTCAACCTTTTTGTCATGTGGACCTGATATAGAACAGCTTTCTGATGATGTTGGTGTGGCAGAGAGTAATTTTACTGACTGGTTTGCTGCTAATTCATTACTTTTAAATAATGAAAAGACAAAAAATGTAATATTTTAGTCTTAGAAGTGTACCTGAAAGATTAGTTTCGAATGAGTATGTTAAGTTCTTAGGAGTCATAGTTGATAAGCAATTATCTTGGTCCCCACATATTGAAAATCTGTTAAGTCGTCTTTCAAGGGTTATATTTTTGTTCAGTAGACTAATTCATTATGTACCTTTTGATTATATTAAGTCAGCCTATTTTGCACTATTTCAATCATTAGCAAGCTATGGTCTGATGTTCTATGGTAGTTCGAGTAAAATTCAGGAAGTATTGTTATTACAAAAAAAGGTTATTAGAATAGGTATGAAGCCTGATAGATTAGCACACTGCAAACCGCTATGAGTTTGGCGTCATGACAACAGTAAATTTGTATATTTTCCAACTTTTATTGTTTACCCACAAAAATAGGGACAATTATGATTGTAGAAATGATGTACATAGTTTTAGCACTAGAAACTGTTGAAAAATAAATGTACCACAAGTTCGTTTAGAAAAAAACTAGGTCCGGACACATTGTTATGGGCATTAGGCTTTATAACCGATTACCAACGGCTGTGATTTGTTTAGATGACAACATTTTTAAGAGAAAAGTGCATTCATTTTTAATAAGTAACCCACTCTATAATGTAAAGGAATACTTTGATCTGCCTCATAATTTATTTAATGAAATAGCATAGAGCATTATATATAGACATATTTTATATTTTTCTAATTTTTTTGCAATCTCTCGCCATGTACACTGTATTATTGTATTTTTATATTTCATTGAACCTCAGATTATGTCTTATATTTTTTAGGTATTCATTGAATATGTGACGCATACAATTGTATGAAAACATCTTGACTTGTCCATGCATGTAAAAATGACAAATAAACGTCTTATGTCTTATGTCATCATTAATTTCATTAATTACATTGTGGAATTCATATTTGATAGAATTTGATTTTGTTTTTGAGTTTTATAAAATAATTAATATGACTTTACATAGTGCATACCCTTTTTTGCTGAATCCATGATTGGGACATCATGAATCCTTTTGCTAATTCCCTTTTTTTAGGGACATGTCACAGACCACTAAATAAAACCTAATGGGCGCGAAATAGTCCATTGCATGTAAATTAAAAACAATCATACTTGGCGGGAATGACACAAGTGTTGTGTTAATTAAGGTTATGGCTGTAATGTAATTTCTCGCGATCGGATAGTGAGTTTTATTTGGAAGAATGGATGTTAACAGTTCCATTTCATGTTTTTCAGATGCGAAATCGGAGTATTCATCTTCCACTTGTGAATCTTTCGAAGCTACTCTTGAGAGCAGTTCTTTTTTATTAAATAAAAGTGGCACCATAGACTGTATGGCTAGTTCAAATAGTAGGCCTATATCTCGATCGGAAAACAAAAGAGGGAGACCTAAGGCAGCTGTTATAACAAATCTAATGCTTCAAGGCTCAAATTCTATAAGTGATATAAAATGCAAATTTTGTTGCCGCGTATTTCCTAGAGAAAAGTCTCTCCAAGCACATCTTCGTACCCATACAGGTAGGCCAAAATTCGTTTACATATCTTACAGCATTTTACCTTCTCTTTTTTTGTAGAAACGGAGTGTAATCTACACGGAATAAGTAGTTTATTTAGGCTAGTTTAAATCCCTTTAAAAGTGTCTTCAAGGACTGTAGCCTATAGGCTGAGTGCTGAGTACCCTAGGCTAGTTTAGTTTAGGTTGTAAATGTTAGACAGCCTAGGCTAATTATCTTAATATATACCAGTCAATTTGATAATGACTAAGTTCTATAGGCTGCTCAATACAATACACTGTTGGCTTAAGTTACATAGGCTATTTTATAAGATTTCTGTCTTCGTAGGCTAGTGGATGACCCAAGTTTAGGCTTCTGTTTTACCATATAGTTTACCATATAGTTACCATATTTATTGTTAGTTTTATACAGTGTACTGCAGAGGTCGTGTTTTGTTTACAATTTGTTTCTTGTTATTTCAGTCTTTTAAAACCTCGTTTAATCAAATAACATAATCTAACCATAAACAATAACTCATCACCTAGTTATATAACCAAACGGTAAAGCGCAAATCAAGAAATTAACTTTAAAATAATAGAAACAAAATTTTGTTGACAGTCAGATAGATAGATAGATAGGTACATTTATTTGATCATTAAACATTATACATAAAATGCAATAGATCATGTCAATAAATAGTAAGCAAGGTAATCCGAGAGATACATGCAATCAAGCTACATCAATTAAAGGTTTATCAAGAATCAAGAATCAAGAATTTTTATATGTTTTTTACATGCACGATAAACAGCGCCCAGACACTACATGACACTAGCGCCCAGACACTACATGACACTAGCGCCCAGTGTCACCGTACATGAACTAGACACGAAAAACAAGCCTCAAAATTTACAATGGGATTGAAATGTGTTTTTAAAGACTCCTAGTCTTGCAAAACACATTTCTGATCCAGTAATTTGAAATTAAGTGGGGGGGGGGGGGATCCAGTAATTCAGGCTAAAGTTTTGAGTCAAAAGCCTGTCTTGCCAAATTTTTTCAATAGCATTTGTTAACACAAGCATGCCTGAATGAAAATTAAAAGCAGATATTTTAGTGATAGTAAAGAATTGGCTAGCAAATCCAAAATCCTAGTTTAAAATTTCTAAAACTTACAATATAGGCTATGTTTTTAGGAATTGTCAGACAATATTCAGTTAAAAAATATTCAAAAATGCTGAAAGTTGTAGTACGGTAGGCCTACCTATCTAGAATAGTCTAAAAACTTTTTTAAAAGCCCTTAAAATGCATAGGCTATAAGTAATTCTAAATTAAAACAAAATTGAGGTGACCCACCCTCCAAGTTCCACGAGTCATAATTGTCGTCTTTTTTGATGGAGGGTCTCTCGGAACCCTACCTCAGCATGACTGAATGATAAAAAAGGTTTCACTTTGCTCCACCTACACGTATGAAAGATTGACATTAAGGGGGGTCAGACGACAACCAATTTTTTAAATAAAAATTTAGTTTTTTATGATGTATTATTCTTAATTTAAATTTAGTTTTTTATGTTGTATTATTCTTTATTCAATGCTCTTGAAAATGATACCTTACTTAACAAAATTGGATAGCTTGAAAAAATGTAATTGAAGTTTCAACAACGCATTGTTGCTCAGTAGGTAACAAACAAATAAAAAAAAAACATATAGGGTCTATCCATATCAAGTGATCCAACAGGGGTTGCTTGACCATTTTTAAAATAAATAATATTTTTATCCTAGATACCTTTATCAATTCTGGGTTCAAAAGTGATTTTAAAATTTGTTTATCTATTTTGTTACTCCTACGGCGGCCATTTTTGTTTTGCGGAACACGCAAATTTTTGCTCATGTAAGGGTTTGCGTTAACTTGCACAACTCGGTAACCATGAACACTAGAGTGATGAAACAAAAAGCATTTTAATCTGGAAGAATCAGCCTAAATATTATGTTCAGTACATATTTATTGAAATGTGTATCAAAAACAGTTTTAAACCCATCTCAACATTTCATAAGAAAACGGAAAAATTTCAACTTTTGAAGGCGTATTTACCATTGGAACGAATAAAATCTCAGACTTGATTTTTTGTGTGTGTGTAGCAACTCAGTAGAACTGTTTGTATTTCAAATATCAACCATGAGACTTAATTCCTTTAAAAGTTATCATTTTTCAAAAACTGAAATTTTTTGAAAAATTCAAATTTTGAGTCTCAATATCTTTGTTGGGACAAAGTTTAAAAATCTGAAATTTTTACCAAAAACCCCTCTTATGGTTGTTATACTGCTGTATGAATTTCATCTTTGAGATTTACTTTTAAGCTAAGTTACAGTACCTATCATGAAAATCGCAAAAACCCCATAAGCTCGGCCAACGCGGCTAGTACTGTAGGTAGCTTAAAAATTAATTTATATGTGTAGGTAGGTGTGGTGTAGGTAATTATTTTATTTAATGTAAACTTACCTAACATACTTTAAAGTAATGTATAGCCTTTTCTTGCAAATTTCTTGTCTAATGTGAAATTAAAAAAACACTTTTTATCAGATTATTTTCATTCAAGTTTACACCTTTTTTTCAATAGGCCTAAATATTTTGAACTCATTTATTAATTTATTGAACCACTTTCATTTTAATAAAGATTATTATAAATTTCACATACAAAAAGCTTTTTGAAAGACAAGTTCTTAAAGTATACAACTTTTTTTACTAGTTAGTGTTTTTTGTTCTACTTTGATCATGCTAATTAGGAAGTTTGGATGTTTCATCATTCAGTTTGGGTTTATCCTTCCAGTGGTTTTTATCAGTTAAAAGAGATTTAATTTTCTCAAAACTTTGTTTATAGGCACCCAAGCTTGATCTTTCTTATTTGTTTTAAAGGCGGTTGGTTGTTGGTCCTGCTGGATCTTTATTTTGATAACTGATGTCAATCACCTCTGCCACCCACCACTGTCATACACAAATGCAATAGAGTCTTTGGTATGAAGTGTAATTTTTACAGCTTTCAGTTGCTAGTGAGGTTACGAAGCACCTAACATTACTACTGTCCGGTACAGGAATAAAACAATGGAAGCTTCTTGTTCCAGTAATCTTTAAACAGTTCTCAAATCGGCCCAGGAGTTTGTTGGTGTGGTGTTGAGTGATTTCTTCATCTGTTATAAAAATAAATTATTTTGTTAAGAAAAACTGTGTTTTGTGACTCATTTACGACTTCCTGTAGGTACTGGAGACTGTATCAGTTCCCACAGAATATGAGTTATTTTTTTTTCAAAATACCTACCACAATAAACACTTTATTGATTTGTGTTATACAGGTTACGGTACATTAAATCTAAATGGAAAATATATTTTAAGACCTCAATATAAATAGAATTAACTAAGTTTTATTTAAATTAAATGATGAATAAAACTTAAAATTTAGCAGGATTTAATTTATTTTTAGTACCGTAGGTAGCGGTACATATAGGCCTAATTTGTACTTTGGGTACAAAGTTTAAGTTAAAAATCTGTTTTGGATTTTTGAAATGTACATTAAGATAAGTTTACATTAAATAAAATAATTACCTACACCTATAAATTAATCTTTAAGCTACCTACAGTACTAGCCACGTTGGCCGAGCTTATGGGTTTTTTGTGATTTTCATGATACTGTAACTTAGCTTAAAAGTAAATCTCAAAGATGAAATTCATACAGCAGTATAACAACCATAAGAGGGGTTTTTGGTAAAAATTTCAGATTTTTAAACTTTGTCCCAACAAAGATATTGAGACTCAAAATTTGAATTTTTCAAAAAATTTCAGTTTTTGAAAAATGATAACTTTTAAAGGAATTAAGTCTCATGGTTGATATTTGAAATACAAACAGTTCTACTGAGTTGCTACACACAAAAAAAAATCAAGTCTGAGATTTTATTCGTTCCAATGGTAATATGCCTTCAAAAGTTGAAATTTTTCCGTTTTCTTATGAAATGTTGAGATGGGTTTAAAACTGTTTTTGATACACATTTCAATAAATATGTACTGAACATAATATTTAGGCTGTTTCTTCCAGATTAAAATGCTTTTTGTTTCATCACTCTAGTGTTCATGGTTACCGAGTTGTGCAAGTTAACGCAAACCCTTACATGAGCAAAAATTTGCGTGTTCCGCAAAACGAAAATGGCCGCCGTAGGAGTAACAAAATAGATAAAAAAATTTTAAAATCACTTTTGAACCCAGAATTGATAAAGGTATCTAGGATAAAAATATTATTTATTTTAAAAATGGTCAAGCAACCAATTATTTTATTTCTGGATCACTTGATATGGATTGACCCTATATTTAATTTTTTGTTGTTTTGAAAAAGTACAAAATTTACCAAATTTAGACTTTAGCTATTTCATAAGGGAAAGAACTCAGGCAACCCATCTTTATTTATTTATTTCCCAATGGTTTACACCCAGTTTACAAAAATGGATACAATGTTATAAGATGGCAAAATTCATGCAACAGTAAAAGTGGTACCGGTACAGTAAAAGTAGTCCCTACAGTAAAGTGGTAGCCTAACAGCAATCTTGAATCATGTCTTGACATAATAGAATGAATTACAAGTAATAAGTAAATAGATACTCTATAAATAAATAATCTTGAACAACAATAACAATAACAATAACAAAAATAACAAAAACGACAAGGAAAAACGATAACAAAAAAAAATTAGAAGCAGTGAAAGATACTTTTGGATAAATAACACAACATGGTAAAAAATTAGGCAGCTGGACACTATTACAGTAGAAGTAATTTAGTAATCTCCCCACTTATTTATTAGGCTACAGTAGGCCTAAATCAGCTGTTTCGTTGCGTTTTCCGAAAACAAATATTTTCACTCTTACATTATTTACACATCTCTCAAAAACTAAAAGAGATATCTCCATATTTTTTTTGTTTTGTTTCACTCTTTCAGCTAAATGTACAAGATAAACATAGGGTTTCATTGTGATAGATAAAAAATAATTTGA